CAGGTGAGCACACTACCGCTTGAGCCACATCCCCAGCCCCTGGAAATGATGTTTTCTTTTGCAGCCAAAACTGACTGAAGTGTTCTGAAGGAGCCAGTGTGGTCTCCCAAGGTTCCTATGACCTGTAGGCAGTTTTGTTTCTGTAGTGTTGGGGGTGGTGGTCCTGGGATTGAATCCTGCAGCAGGGTGCATCATCACTAAGCAATTTAGAGATTTTGAGACAGGGTCTTGCTAACTTGCCCCAGCTAGCCTCCAACTTGTCATCCTCCTGCCTCAGCCTCCTAAATCCCTGGGATCACAAGCATTCAGCACCATGCCTAGTCCATAGGAAGTTGTATGTGCGTAATCGTACAATTGCTCAGACGGCATCATGGTGGAGGGTCTGCCCAGCACCACTAGACTAAAAAGTAGAGACGGTTAAGTTGTCAAATATCTTTTAAAAATTCATGCTACAGAACTCAGTAAATGTTCTTTTTTAAAAAATATATTTTTAGTTGTAGATAGATACACAGTATCTTTATTTATTTGTATGTGGTGCTGAGGATTGAACCCAGTGCCTCATACATGCAAGGCAAGCGCTTTCCCACTGAGCTACAGCCCCCGCCCTCAATAGATGTTCTTTGAGTGAGCTAGATAAGAGATCTTATTCTTAATACTGTTGTGGCACATTTGAAATAAATCACCAGGTCAGTCTTGAAGCAGGACGTGGGACTTTATTCACCTGTGGGTTGGAAGGGCAGCAAGCAAGTCATCTCTGCAACCTTCAGCCCCTTGAAGAAGGTAGGGTGCACTCTTAGAGCCTGCAAACCACCAACTACCAGTAAGTCAAAACCACAACAACGTAGGGAATGGGTCAGAATAACCCTGGTCAGGGTACAGTATACTGTGCAAGAAAAATGGTAACTAAATGGAGAACATCTTACAAATGTGTTTCTTAATAATATATTGTATAAAAGTAGAGGAAACATTTTTCGGCTGTCATGCGTTGTCAAACAGGACATGCTTAGCAGAAGGTGGCAGAGGCGGCGTTTTCTCATGGGAGAAACATTTCTTACGTGAAATGGAGTCTCGGGTAAAATAGAGTGTGTCTGGTCAAGGCACATCTGGTTTGATCCAGAACAATACAGTTAGGCAAAACTCGAAAGAGGGTCTGACAGTAGGACTTAGGTGTGTCCTGTGGCTGTTTCTGTGATATTTCCTGAGTGCCTCCAGGATCTGCAGGTCAGCGCCCAGGCTTTCCGCTGCTCTTCACACCTCCAAGAGTTCATGTGCTCCTGAAGCATCTTCCCTTTTTTAACTAAAAAAAAAAAAATGAATTTTGATTTCATAACTAATTTGTAAATAAAGTCTTATTGTGAAAAGGATTCAGAGGGACACAGCAGACTGCCCTGAGGCACCTGTGCTGGGGAAGTCCCAAACCAGCCGACCTGGAGTGACCCCGTGCTGCCTGCCGCAGTGCCTGCCACACAGAAGGCGCTCCATAAGTATCTGTTGCAGGAACAAATGAGGCGGTAGAGGGAGAGACTGCCTCAACACAGCCCCTCGTTTGTCTACCCTGAAGCCCCCCCAGGCCCACTTTCTACATGTGATGTTTGCCAACGCTGGGTCTGAGCTTCCTCTGGGGTTTAGTGAGAACAATGAACTTGTCCCGTGATTGGACTCTCCTTTTTCTTTTTTCAAGTCAATACGTTCCCATTTACCTTCTGTCTCCAAGATTTTTTGAGGTTTTTATTTTAGTCTGATAATTCATATTTCTTGGGTTTTTTAGTACTATTGAAGCTTTGAGAAAATTTTTAATGTTATCTTTTGTAAAATCTTTAACAGGGACTTAGAGTCCACTTTTGCTAAAAGCACTGACTCTTCACATGGGCCTACAGGTGCCTGATGGGTAACTAACAGGATAAAAGTTTGGCATCTCTGCTTTCATATTGTATATTTCCTTTTCCCCTTAAACTTTGGGTCAAATTCCTGCTAAGCTTTGCACATAGATAAGTTAATTGCTTAAGGAGTGTCTATTTAAAAACTGGCAGTACAGGTGGATTGTTTCTAGATTTACCTAACCTCTCTTGTTCCCTCCAAGGCTGAAGGCACCAAGATAGGAGCAACTAAGGTATTTTCAAGATTTTCAGGAACATTATAATTAACAGATTGTCAGCTGCCAGCTTTTACAATGTCCTGTGTCAGATCCCCTAGGAAAGAAAAGTGGCAGGACTAATCACACACATACACCTGGGATAAAGATCGGGTTTATTGTCAGGAGCCTGCTCTGCGCAGAGAGAGGGACAGAGCAGCAACTTCCCCTTGAATGTTACCTTTAATAGGCTAGAATCATGGCCGTGCATTAGGGGTGCAGTTAGTCTTGACCAACGTTGTAAGCATCTCCTGATCTTGTGGAAGGCAAGTTTGTTTCTTGGGAACAGAGACAGGCAGTTTTCCTCTCTCAGAAGGGAAACAGGGAAACTGACATGTCCCTTTATCTCCTCAAGGAGAGAACAGGGAAACCAGTGTGTCCCCATTTCAGGAGCCTGTAGGTTGTCCCCTATCTCTCAGTAAGAGAACAGGGAAAGACTAGCACACCTCCAGGCCAGTAGATTCTATCTCGGGCTACTTTCTCTTTCTTGGGAATAAGAACAGTATTCATAGAGCGGGGTCTGGGCAAAAGGAACATGGCTGCAGTTAGGGTAACACCCTAGAAGTCTCCAGTCATTGCCCTAAACCTGCCAGGAACACGGAGCCTTGCAGGCAGGTCACCCCTTGATGGCACTGCCTCCCGCCAAGTGGGACTAGTGACTTTGCTGTGCAGTCTTCTTGCCCCATCCCAGTTCTTCCCTACTTAAACTTGAAGCTCATGTCAGCACCCCTGGAAGGCAGGGCTGAGGACGCCAGTCTCCTTGTCTTCCCAATGTGGCTGTACTGAATATTAAATTCCTTCCCTACTTTGTCATTACTTTTTCATTTGGTTTCCTTTTGGGGCAAGGAGCCAGACCTGGTGTTTTGGGACTCCCCAAAGTCAGGGCACCCTGGCCTGGGACTCTGGCAACAATCTCAGTGGGATGTTTGATCAGAAAGAGAAACAGATATATCCTGGGTTTGCTATCTTGATACAATCTCTACTTTCTTAATTTTGCATATTTCAATGTTAATCAGTACATAAAACTTGTGCCTGATAGCTTTATTGTGATTGTGCCCATGCCAATATATATAAAAAGGGCTTTGTAGAGATGCTATTCTCTGAAGTGGTTTTATCACGTCACACTCCCACCAGGAACGTAAGGGAACTCCAGTGAGTCCCACCACATTTCCACCCTGCATGCCACTGCCAGTCGGTCTAGTTCAGCCTTGCCCGTGGGCACGTGGTGGCAAGTCTTTGTGGTTTTAGTTTGGGTTTCCCTTGTGAAGAATGACGCTGAGCTTCTTTTCATATATTATGAACCACAGTAATTCTGTTGAAGAATACACTTAGGTGATTCGCCCATTTTTTCCCCGAGTTAGTTTGCTCTTGTTGATGTTTGGGGATTTTTCACATATTCCTGAAACTGGGCCTTTGTCAGATGTACATACTGCCAAAGCCCCATGTCTCTGGTTTACTCATTCACGGTCTTGATGTCTTTGATGAACAGAAATCCTTCATTTTAATGACATCTAATTTATATATATATTTTATTACAATGAACACTTTTTGTGTCCTTTTAAGAAATCTTTACTTACCTAAGAGTCATATTCTACCTTCTTCTAAGGCTGGATTGACTTTGTTCCACATAGGTTTATGAACCATTTCAGGTTAATCTCTGTTTATATAGTGTGAGGTGGGAGATTAGATGTCTTCCCCCCCTGTGGAAGTCCAGTAGTTCCAACACCATTATTGAAGAAAAATTGTTTACTTTCAATTTTGGTGACTTCTTTGTTGAAAAATGAATTGACCTCATCTATGGAGGTCTGGCGTCCCTTCTGTGTTGAGTTAATGAGTAAATCTATCTTTACATGTCACCTCCCTTGTTCTCTTATGAGTGCCCCAAGCAGACAGCCATATTTTTCCATTTTTATATCTCAGCAGTTAGCACAATGCCTTGTATACCATAGGTGCTTAATAAAAGTTCATTGAGTTGAATTGTGCATTGCTTCTTAAACCTGGAGGGCAGCTGCTGAAAAGCATGAAGAATGTTCTTGAATAGGAATAGGGTGGTGTTTGTACAACTCCATACATTTATTAAAAATTGTTAAATTATACACTGAAAATGTGAATTTTGGTGATCTGTAATTCCAACTTATTAAAACTTAAAAAAAAAACTGATGGCCAAGGTGTGGCAGAGCCATTGCTGATACTGGGCAGTGGAGCAGTGTTAGATAAGTCTACGTCTTTTTATAGTTTGTCCAGAGTTTATCGTGTTACTTGCCCAAGGGTTAGTCTGCTGAAAGGTACTTGGCTATTATCAGAAATGAAACTCCCAGGTTGGAGATCTCTGTTCTCTTTCTCTGGGGTGGTAAATAGTGTGGCTGTCTTACCATTCGGCAGCTGATAAGAGCTAAGGCATATTCCTTGATTAGGGCTTCTGTGCACATAAGACAGACTGGTTGCCTTTAACAGGAGAGCAGCTCTGGAGGTGACTAGCCCATGGTCAAGGGGTCAGCAGGGGTCATTTCTTTGGAGGCCTTTCTCCTTGGCTGAGGATGGCCATCTTCTTCTTGTGTCTCCCCATGATCTGCCTCTGTGCATATCTGTGTCCAGATTTTCTCTTCCTATAAGAATCCTGCTCATATGGGGTTAGGACCCACTCCAGTGACCTCTTTTAACTCATAATCTTATTAAAGACCCTGTCTCCAAACACAGGCGCGGTGTGGGGGACCAGGGTTAGGACTTCAACAAGGGAATCGGGGGAGTTATAATTCAGCTCTCACCCAAAACTTTTTAAAGATGTAGACAATGAGATTAAGACAAAATAGAAATCACATGTACATCATCAAAACCAGAGAAGAGCTATTTCTTTCCTTTCAATGAATGTGAACTAATGAAAAAGTCGTCTGGACACTTCCTTAGGCAAATGAGCTGAGGACAGTGATGACCCGGGTCCAGTTCTGGCTCTCTTCCTTAACTGTAAAGCCGAGGCTCCACCCTGCTCAATCTCCGTGCAGGGCTGTCCCCCAGGCCGCTGCCCCTTCAGCCTATTTACCGTTTGGTTTACGTTGGGTGACACTGTGTGGACAGAGGGCCGCTGAACTCTAACCTCCCATCGCTGGCCGCTGTGAACGTGAACCTGTCTGTCTCCCGCGGCTGCGAGGCGGAGCATACCTGACCGCGGTGTTTCTTGTGTCCCCCAGAGGCTTCCTGAATGAGCCTTTCCTGAAGGAAGGCCTGGATGGCCCCATTGCTCGCCTC